GAAAAATGGACAAATGCCATAAAGGTTCGTTCAGTGTTTGTCGGGTAGGCTGCTCCATTATTGAGACGTAAGTGACAAATACAAAACAAATGGAACACATTTGAAACAAAGAAAGATTGTCATAATGGAGCAGCCTACCCAACAAACACTGAATGAACCTTTTGCTATAATGAATATGAAAGACAAGGGCTGCTGGCTGGGTTAGTACTGCGTGAGCAACCATTTGTGGCACACGTGGCTCTGGCTCTCAAACACCTGTCCCACACAGTGTTGAAAGACTGCGCTCAGTCGGTGCAATTCAGAACCTATTGTTTGAAGAACATAAGGGTCATAACATTGGTCATAACATTAACACAACGGTCGGATGCCAGTGATACAGCGAGCGTATCCAGTTGTAGCTCTGAGCCTCACCCTTGCCATCTCGAATTTATATAGATGATACACAGATTAATCGTTTTCTGCGTTCAGTGATGATGCATCTGATACAAGTAGCATAGATGAACAGTGTTAGTGGCTTCCATGGTGGTGGTGTTCATTGATATTTTCAAGAATACCTGAATCTCTTCCTGACTGATGGACACTCTTTGAGGCTAGCTGAATCTCTTCCTGTGTGGGACCTTACAAAGCGATCTTTTCACGACTACCTTACAAATTGAGCTTTTCCTATAATCGTTTCAATACTACCTTATGCTTTACAAGCTTGGCTACATACCACCTACAAGTACTAAAGCCAAGGGTGCACGCGAGTGGGTTATTTGCAAGCACACAGAACGATGAAACAGGAAACGAAAATCTATCTGTAGCTGGTGCAAGGAGAGCAAAGTCGCGCTGTGTACCATGGACTACTTCGTTGACTATTACGCACCTCCAAAGTACTGAGTGTGTAATGCAGTGTGTTACTGTGTAAATAGTATGTGAAACTGTACATATTGTAATTTTAGTGAATTTTTACTACGTAATATTGTGACTAAACATTGATTGTGGACACATTACTAACACATGTATCACAGTTCCATGGAAAATTATGAACATTCTACTGTATACATATTGTAAAGGTCACAAATATGCATCATTTACGATAAAAGAAACAAATAAAACCGCATTGGAAATGCATAGAAAAAATATTTGAAAATATATTTGTGGCAACACGCGGTGCTTGAATGGCCTGAGCGACCGTGTCTGGGAGCTTCACACACGGGCGACCAGGCCCTGATGACTTCACAGCACACCTTGTCCACGCCCTCACAGCCAAAGTAAGTGGAATTTGGTAATTATTTTTACATAGACACGTTCAGGGACGGTAATTTATCATTTTGCAAAGAAAAATTATATTTTGGGGAACATTTGATGTCATGCACACTGGGGGAATTTCACAATAAACACAGTGCATCACACTGGTTACATGGGGGACACTCGTTTTGTATGACGTCCGTTTCACATGACGAACATGGAACGTATTATATTCGTTATGTGAGGTACCACTGTATATATATATAATATATATATAATGTATATATATATATATATATATATATATATATATATATATATATATATATATATATATATGTCGTACCTAGTAGCCAGAACTCACTTCTCAGCCTACTATGCATGGCCCGATTTGCCTAATAAGCCTAGTTTTCATGAATTAATGTTTTTTCGACAACCTAACCTACCTAACCTAACCTAACCTAACGTTTTCGGCTACCTAACCTAACCTAACCTATAAGGATAGGTTAGGTTAGGTTAGGTAGGGTTGGTTAGGTTCGGTCATATATCTACGTTAATTTTAACTCCAATAAAAAAAAATTGACCTCATACATAATGAAATGGGTAGCTTTATCATTTCATAAGAAAAAAATTAGAGAAAATATATTAATTCAGTAAAACTTGGCTTATTAGGCAAATCGGGCCTCGCATAGTAGGCTGAGAAGTGAGTTCTGGCTACTAGGTACGACATATATATATATACATATATATATATATATATATATATATATATATATATATATATACAGTACTGTATAAATAAAAGAGACGTCGTCGCGTCTGGAGTTTCTGGCTCATGTCTATCACCACTTGTATGGAGTGAGGGGTGGCTTTGTTGTTAGTCTCCCACCTGCGTGCTTCGTCTTGGCAGCAGTATGAAGTTCCTGGCGGTCCTTCCAGTTTTTCCTATCACTCCATAGGTGTACTTCGGTCGCTGATAGGGTTGTTTTGTCCTTCCTTCCATAGTTGTTTCTGGACTGTCATCTTATGCCGTAATACTGTCGCCTTGTATCATGCGGCGCTGGTGGATCCACTCCTGCTTGTGTTTGGTATTGATGTTATGTCTGCCCCGTTTCGTCATCTGTCTCGTGCATTGTTTCACTTTCGGCCTGCTCATGCGCCACCTGAGCCGTCCTGGTCTTTGAATCGGGTGCTCTCTTTCTCTTTCCTCCTCAGTTTGTAGTGTCCCCTTCAGTTTGAGTTTTTTCTTCGGCTCTTTTTTCCTGTTGGCATTGGCCTCTAGGGGGGGTCGGGTTGGGGGAGCTTCATGCTCTCCTCTGGCATAGGGGTTTCTGCTCTTTTGGTCCTGGTCGTAGATTTGTTCGGTTGCAGCCATCTCCTTCTTTTCTGGCGATGTATGAGTCTGCTGCTTTCTAGAGGGGTCCTTGGGTTGTTGATGCTTGGTTGTTCAGGCCAGGGGTGCATCAGGTGTTGTTTGGTTGCAACTCTCAGCTATTGTCGATGCATCTTTGCCTCTCTGGCCGTAGCCGTGCTTTGGGTTGGCAGTGTTCCTTTCCCTCATTCCCGTTACAGGGTTCAGGTCTCCTGAGTCATCCACAGGGCCCTTTGGTTTTTCCGGTTGTCTTGTTTTTGTCTTCGGATGCATGGCATCCGCCTCCCAAGACCTTCCCCTCTCTTCCTTATCTTTGGTGAGGTAGCTCCAGGGAGCCGATGGGGCTCTCTCCAGAAAACCAATGTGAAATAATGAAACGCCATTTTCTGGGTGAGTCCCGGAGGCTCCCCAGCAACCCTCCCTCCCTCCAGTTGGCAGTATTTTTTGCGAGTTTTGACATCCAGCCTAAGAACTGGTGGGTGGATCGCCGGTGCGAGGGGTCTGGGGCTCCCCCTTCCCTCTCCCAAGAAAAAGGTAAAGGGGGGGGGGGGTGTTGAGCAGACAGCGGCGTGGCGGCGTGATGATGATGTGCTCGTTTGCTAATTTTCGTTTGGGGAGTTCTGTTCACTTGTTCGGCTTTTGGTAGCAATTTTTTACCAGATAGGGGTTTGTTTTGGGGGTGTCTACTTTTCTGGGTGCCAGACCCAGTCAATGGCAGACATAGAATACTCCCAACCACACTGGGGATTTCTATAGGCCATTGATCCTCATGCCTCTCTGAAGGGGCCAGGTTCTGGTTCAGGCAAAAACTCCATGCACATTTACTGATTCCAGAAAGTTATACATACCCATATCAGCCTGAATAACTGCGGAGAGCCTCCGGGACTTGCCGTTCCACCCAAACTTATCCAGAAAATGGTGTTTCATTACATTAAACGCTGGTTTTATAGTTTGTTTACATAGTTTTGGGGAATTCTATGGCTGTTTTCAAGCCACCAGGTCTGAGACAGCCAGCTATGGTTTGTTGTGACTCGATAACTTTCTAGGTGCCTTCTTCGGTGGTGGCATAAAGGAATAACTTAATATTGTACAGTGGCACCTCGATTAACGAGCGGGTCTATTTACGAGCATTTCGAGTAACGAGCGAGCCACTTGCAGCAAATTTGTCTCTATTAACGAGCAAAACCACATTGTGCTTCCTAGCGTCTTGCTGGTTCTCGCAAATTCTCGGACGCCTCCGACGCCAGTGTTGTTGTTGTATCGTGCACGACAAGCATCCCTCTGCATTTATTTGTGCTTTTCTTTGTTTTTTTTGTGGTTTTGTGACTATAATTTGTGATGCACGATGTCACTAAAGAAGCTGTTTGCTAAAGATAGTGTTGTCAAGAGGAAGAAAGAGACAATTACTGTGGATTTGAAGAAGGAAATTGTAGCAAAGCATGAGCTTGGTGTCCGTGTGACTGATCTCATATGGGAGAATGGCAGGTCCTCATCAACAATTTTCACCATTAGTAAGGGGATGAGGAGGTAAGGGAGGATGCTGCCTCTTCCAGTGAGATCAGGGAAATGTTGGGAATGTTTGAAAAGGTGACTGCATTCTTGGAAAAGCATCACCCTGATAAAGCAGTGATAACCCAGTGTGTGAATATGTTTAATGACAATTTGCTGTCTCGTTTTAGGGACATCCTAAAACAAAGACAAAAGCAATTGTCAATAGACTCGTTCTTTGCAAAAGTAAAAACCAGTGAGTGATGGTGAACCATAACCCGGTCCCAATGGGGTGAAATTCCCAAGAAGAGAGAGCCCGCCTGACTCAAAGGTGGATTCTCCTCCCACACCATAACCCCTCTCCTCCTTCCCACCTCCCCATCGTCTCCCTCAAGCCAGCACCGACTTTTCATAAGGTAAAGTAAACATGAAAGCAGTACAACAAAACATTTATAATTCCATGTGCAGTATTATATTTACATTATAAAATGTCATACAAGTATGGATGTTTTTGGAGTGGAACGGATTAAATTTATTTCCTTTATTTTAAATGGGGAAATTTGTTTCTTAAGACGAGTTTTCCACATAACGAGCTCTGTGCCAAAACGGATTAAACTCGTTAATTGAGGTGCCACTGTATATAAATGCCACAGTGCCCTTCACATCTGTGAGGACACCAGGTTTTGGCACTGGGTCCTCGGTAGGCCAGAGAAACTTATGACTAATGACATCTAGTAGATGGCACCTATGTCGGAGATGGTAGCTTCTTGGAGCCACAACGTGCTCTTCCCAGAAAAAATATTATTTAGATGGTTCTGTGATTGTTGTAGCCTACAGTGCTTCATAAACAAATGGAACTAGTCTTAATTAATTCAGAGTAAAGACACGTCATTCTGTGTTTCATCTGCAGGAGGAAGTTCGAATAGTGAAAGTCCTTATTAAAGATGACCCAGATCAGGATATCAGCCCATACTTCCCAGTGGTCGCCGAGGCCTTCAAAGAGTGTCGAGGTGGGTCTTATTCTATGTACCAGTGGTTGAACTATTCTGCAAATGATTCTTTGAGTGTTAAAGTTTGGGTGCCACATTATTATTAATCAGTCATGATTTGCTCTAAGAGTAGTATATAGGAGGTCATTTAGACTTAGGCATTAGGAGTCATGTGTTAGACAGTGAGATTTCTGCTAAATGTAATGCATGTATTTGGGTAAGAAGTTCATAATTACAAAGGTGCCACAGCTGTCACAATTAAAAGATGTTGAAAATAATGAACTTGCAGTCGAGGCCAACTCGGATTTAAATTGAGAAAATCTTGCCTTTCACAATTACTCAACCACTAACAAAATCATAGAATCATTAAAAGAAAAAAAAAATGCAGATCTTGTATACAGAGACTTTGCAAAGACATTTGATAAGTGTGACCATGTTGTACAAGCCCATAAAATGAGAATGCAAAAAGTAACAGTCAATTAAATAAAGTCAAGTCCATCCACAGGGAAACTTTCCATACCACTTTTTCTGGGGGAGCCCCGTCGGCTCCCTGGAGCTATATCAGGCTGATATGCTAATGTCAGACTTTGGTATCAGTCATGTGTATGGAGTTCTAAGGGCCTACCGGGGACCACGGCCAGAACCTAGCCCTCTCAGAGAGGCAAGGGGAGCAATGGCCTATAGAAACCCCCATGTGGTTGGAAGCATTCTATGTCTGCCATCGACCAGGTCAAACATCCAGAAAGGTAAGCATCCCAAAACAAACCCCTATTCTGGTGAAAATTGCAACCAAAAGCCGAACTAATGGATAGAACTCTCCAACAGAAAACAAGCAAACAAGTATGACGTCACACGTCCCCGCGCCACTGTCTGCGCAGTTCCCCCCTCCCCGGGAGGGGGAAGGGGGAGCCCCAGACCTCTCACGCCGGCTATCCACCCATCAGTTCTTCGGTTGATGCTAAAGGCACCAGTTGTGTGCTCCGGCTCCAATGGTTGTTTCAGCACTGTGCCTAGAGTATGGTGTGTGTCTTCTAGGTGGTGTGTGAGCCGGGAGTGAGTCTCCAGTACTCGGGCTGCATGCACCTAGGGTTGCCTTCCCTGGGTGCCCTGTAAGCACTGCCCTTGAGGCTTGGGGTTACTGTCCACAAGTTCCTTGGGTCCTGCTTCTGCTAGGCCATTTACTTTTTGGTTTTCAGCCGCCCCTTGTGTGATGGAGGGTTCTGTCTCCCTTTTTCACCTTAGGGTAAGGGGCAGTTTGCACTGGTAGGGGCACAGGGTACTGTGCAGCTTGTTTTCACCAATCATAGCATCCGGCTCTGTTCCGCCTGGATACGCTTTCCTCTTGCGGGGGTTTTCTTTTTCCTTTTTGTTTGTCTACCTGGTGGGGGGGTCTGCTTTTGGTTCTTGCCCCCCTTTGTACTGGATTCTCTTCCTTCTTCCGGTGGTTCCCCCTGCTAGGTCCCCGTGAGTGTACACGTCCCGGGGGTTCAGTTCTTAGAAAGTTGTTTCGCTTTCTGTTGAGGGGTGCGTGGTGGTGCACCCTCCCGGATCCGTCCTTTTGACCTTCCTCTGTGGGTAGTTAGCTCCGGGTAGCCGACTGGGCTCCCCCCCCCCAGAAAACCAGCGTTAAATGTAATGAAACTCCATTTTCTGGATGTGACCCGAAGGCTCTCTGGCAACCCTCCCTCCCTCCGGTCAGCGGTTTTTCGCGTGTTTTGACATCCAGCCTCAGAACTGATGGTTGGATAGCCGGTGTGAGAGGTCTGGGGCTCCCCTTTCCCCCTCCCGGGGAGGAAGGAGCTGCGCAGACAGTGGTGCAATGACATGTGGCATCATACTTGTTTGCTTGTTTTCTGTTGGGGAGTTCTATCCACTAGTTCGGCTTTTGGTAGCAATTTTCACCGGAATAGGGGTTTGTTTTGGGAAGCTTACCTTTCTGGATGTTTGACCTGGTTGAAGGCAGATATAGAATGCATCCAACCACACAGGGGTTTCTATAGGCCATTGCTCCCCTTGCCTCTCTGAGAGGGCTAGGTTCTGGCCGTGGTCCCCGGTAGGCCCTAAGAACACCATGCACATGACTCATGACAAAGTCTGACATTAGCATATCAGCTTGGTATAGCTCCGGCAGCCTCCGGGTCACTCCCAGAAAATGGCGTTTCATTACATTCAACGCTGGTTTTTTTCATTTTCATATCAGATACTGGGTGGGAACTACCCAACAGTGCCCAGAATAATCTGTCTGTCTGTCTCTCCCACTCCATTCCACCCCTCATTTTTTCCCTTCTTCCTACATTCCCTCCCTCTTCTCTACCCCTCCTCCACCCTTCCTGCCCCTACCTTTCCTCTTCCCCTACCTTTCCTCTTCCCCTCCCCTTCCTTTTCCCCTCCCCATCCTCTACCCCGTTCCCTTCGTCCCTCCTAACTCCCCATTTTCCACATTCTCAACACTCTTCTCTATCTCCTTAACCCTTGTATTTTGCCCTTTCTCTTTTCCCCTTTTTCCCATCTGGCTTTCCCCCTCTCCTCTCAGAAAATGTACTACAGTGGTGCCTCCACTTACGATGATAATCCGTTCCAAGAGACGTATCCTAAGTCGAAATATCGTAAGTCAAAACGAATTTTCCCATAAGAAATGATGGGAATTGAATTAATCTGTTCTACACTCCCCCAAAAATTAACTTCAAAGTAAATTTTATATCTAATTTATACAGATCTTTAGTACTAAAGTACAGTACTGTATGTACAAGTTATTGCTTACCTTTATTGATGACTTGTTGGCATATGGAAGACTGAGGAGGAGGAAAGGGGTAGTGTTTGGAAGAAGAGTCCCCTTCCATTGTACTGTAACATCAAGCAGTAATTTTTTTTTTTTTTTTATAGAAAATTGAGCTGCCTGCCTGACATCCTCTGAACAAACCTTTTAGAAATTTTTATTTTTTAAATTTTTTCAATATTTGTCTATGGCGATGCATCACAGTGTCATTGAAAAGATTATGGTAACGGCGTACTACGGCTTGATTTGGGCGAGTCGTTTCAGCAAAAGTTTGCAGTTCTTCCTATACTGCACACATTTTCTTGATAAATGAGGAAGGGACATCCTGTATATCAACAGCCCTCATAACATTTTCATGTTCACGAATGATTTTTCCGTTGTGGTCGTCCTCACATGTGTTTTCTTAGGTTCAACCTTACCACTAACTTTCTTGGGACCCATGGTGTGATACATAATAACTAGTTTTATGTTCAAAAAAATAAAAAATCACCTAAATAATGGAATTTCTTAAAAGCATGATCATCACTAAGCGGGTGGCTCTGGTAAACTGAAGCAAGTCGGCCCATGATACCAGGAACCAGGCGTTCAATCAACCCAAGTGCGTATCAACGAATATCTTTAGTCATCGACACTATCATAAGTCGAATCGCATTTTCCGAAAAATTTACGTCGTAACTCGTCGAAAACATTAAAAATATCGTAAGTCGGGGCAATCATAAGTCGAGTTACGATTGTTCTGAGTGTATGTACTATATGTATGTAGTGTATGAGTGTCACTGTACTGTACTGTATTAAAAAGCTCCAAAAAACTCTATGCAGAAATACATAAAATACTTCACACTTGACTCCAGGAAAATTGCATGGGAGGCCTGTTAAAAAAGCTAAAAGCTGTTAAAAAAACAAATATTTCCTATAGTATTTCATTTAGGCTGACTCTGACCAGCCAATATCCATCCCATACCTCATACCAATACCCTGCAAAGTTGGATTAGCCCCAGGCATCTAACCTCCAGACAGACACACAGATATTCTCTCTCGAAGATATAGACATGCAAAAATTGCTTGTCACAAGTCACAACTTTGTTTCATCCTTTGTGAACAACACAAAAAACATTATGAAGATCATTTTTACATTAGAAATTGAAAACTACAAGCTGATATCAATGAAGCCTTCAGTTGGGCAACAGAAAATAAAATATTGCGTAACAGTGATACATTCTAAATATTTAGGTATGACAAAAATTATGTACTTAAATTATTGGGCACATAACATGATCAGATTTCTTCATAGAAGGAAAACATGTAAAGACTCCAGGAATAATGATGTCATATGACCTAACATTTAATGAGCATAACAAAGCCAACTGAAAAAGTTGGCTGAAAAGCCAAGTAAGCTGAAAAAATTATAGGGTGGATTACGAGATCTTTCAAATCTACCTCAGTTCTCTTACTATTAAAAAAACACTTTTCCTTTTCCATCCTGAATATCTTATTAAAAGAATTATAATGTTTTCTAGGGGGAGCCCCCATTGACTCCCTGATGCTATCAAACACTGATCAGTGTCATACAATCAGGTGCCATCAGTGCCATCAGGCGCCTACTTGGGATCATGAGCCAGAACCTGAGCCCCCAAAGAGAAGTGCAGGGAGCGATGGCCTATGAAACCTTTATATTTAAGTTTAATATAGTTTAATGCCCCCTCTTTCCCTTCACACTTTGTGGTGGCTGTCCTGTTTCTTTCTGGTCCCCAAGCAGAACTTGGTGAACCTCCAGTACATTTTTAACCATTCAGGTTTGAATCATGTCATTCCTTGTCCAACTTTACCCATGACCACCTTAGCTCAGGACTGCCTGGTGTTGCAGGTGGAGTCCTGGAGAGAGTCTCAAGACCCACAGGACATCTGTTGGCATGTTCCTATTCATCCCCAGTTCAGAAGCTTGTTATGTATTGTGGTAAGGCATCAGGCTTACTGCTGCCGGGTTCTCTCATTTGGCTTGAATCTGGATCCCCAGACATTCAACAGGTTAGTGAGTGTAATGGTGTGCTGCCTTCGTGTGTTCAGGGCTCGCATCTTTGCCTTTGTCAATGACTAGAAAATTTTGTCTCCCAGCCTTTTTGCATGTCTACAGGCCAGGGATCTGGTTTTTTCCTATCATCAGATTTGGGTTTCAGGTTAATTGGTAAAGTCCCAGTTGGTTCCATTGCTAATTTGGATGTAAATGGGTCTAGTCTGTAAGTCTTGGTCTTCTTCCCTCTTCCTTCTACCTGCATCCCTGCTCTGCTTGGAAATGCTTCTCAGGCTAGTGGTGGAGTCTTCAAGTCACTTATCGTTTGCTCGAGCAGATGTGAGAAAATCTGAACTTTTCCTGCATAATGCATCCTCTGGGCAGGTTTGGCTCCAGGCTCTGTACCATTTTCTTTGGTTCCATCCCTTCTGGCAACCCCAGCAGCAGCAGGTGTGGGCTCTATGGGGCCTTCATCAGCTTCTAGTATGCCAATTTCTTCTTGGTACTTTTCAAAATTCTATCTCATGTTCTCTCCCCCCATCCTCCACCCTTGTGTTCAATCTTTTCGTTGACACCTTTACCCCTTGTGCTAATGCTCTGTCTGCAGATGCTTTTTCTTCTTTTGGGGCTTTGTGGTCCAGCTCCACTCCAACTGCTCCTTAGTAGTTCATTGTCGGAATTGCAAGGGGTCGCCTCGGCCTCTTCCCTTGTGGAGTTGGACACTACAGGAAGCTCATCATTTGGATTCTCTGGGTTTGGCTCTCAATGGGGTTCACACTCACGGTGTGGAGCTTTCTGGTGGATGGTCTCTAGTATTTGTCCTTTTGCCAAGGAGAGGACCGTTCATGACATGCCTTTCTTTTAGCTTTGTGAGAAGTTTGGCTACCTTGATGTGGACTTTGTGTCAGAGTGAATCATTTACCAAGTTATTTGCTGCATTGTTGAATTACTTCCTGTGAACCTTGTAGTTGTCTATTTTGCTTCGCTTCCTCTCTGGTTTGCTTCTTCAGTGAGGTATGATCATGAATCCACTGCTGCCTGCACCTCTTTGAGTGGGACAGGTTTTGGCCTATGGTTTCCGGTAGACTTGCAATGACTCGCAAGGGCCTGGCATGGATTAAACTGGGTAGAGCTATCCAGGTAGCAAGGACTAAGGAAGCCATGAAGGCCCCACCAGAAAGAAGCATTTCATTACATTCACTGCTGGTTTTTATTATTCCACCAATAATTGCTATCATTTTTTGTGTTGCAAAATTTAGGGAATAATGACATAACCTTTAAATCACAGTTGACATCATTTGAAACCTAGGGAATGACAGCTGGCCCTATTGGCAGTTTTTAATTATTGCAACACTTTGATAAATGAAGTGTTCATAGGTGTCATGGTATCACCCAACATTCAGAGGGGGGTCATCGCTCGCTGCAACAGCACCCATCCTGCCATTATGCTGGATGAACATCCTTCAGCTACCAGTCTCTCAGACTTAATATGAAGCTAACTGTGATTCCTTATATAGTACAGGTGTTAATCAATCACACTTAACTAGGTCAATACAAATTAGGTGGAATTTATTTATTTTTGCATTCAGATTCACTTTCATATGTTTCATATTTTTGTGCATATGTTTACTCTGTTAGCATACCTTCATTTGGTGGACATTACAGAGTGTGGCAAGAATGGCATGGCAATGGTGTGCCGGGCAGGAGTAAGTAGGTCAGCATCTTTGGCTCTTGCAGCGCTTGTAGGACAGACTGACTTGGGCCAGATGACTCTCAGACATGCCTACCTCACCATCAAGGCTGCCAGACCCTTTATCAGGCCCAACTATGGATTCTTCTCACAGGTCAATATCTTTCTTTTCTGTTACTTAAATCATATAAACTTCAGTGTTTTCTCATGTTAGGAAGATATGTCTTCAGTCATTTAGAAACCTCTTGTCCTTGCTTTTGCCTGTTCTGGAACAAATCATCCAGGTTTCAAGTTAGTATCAGAAAGTTATCAGAAACAATATGTTAACTCGATACAGTATATTCACATGATCTCAGGTCAGAGACTTGCCACTTATCTCCCCCCCCCCCACATCCTAACAACTCATCATTTATTTTCTTAAGATTCTTGAGAAAATAGAAAACAAGTTAGTCTTTTTTGGTCAAGGGGCACTAATGTTAGAGAAATAACCTAACATCAGAGTAACCTTTCTCACAGATTGTCCTTTATCGGCACATTCACTGTACCACCTTTTATTTATACATTTCACTTTCTTCACCTTGGTATTGTCCTGATAAACATATTCTTGACCTCTGCCTGGAGTACTGGTTACATTACTCCCATGACGGGTACTGTTTACATTACCCCCATGATGGGTACTATTTACATTACCCCCCATGACGGGTACTGTTTACATTACCCCTATGATGGGTACTGTTTACATTATTCCCATGACAGGTACTGTTTACATTACCCCCATGATGGGTACTATTTACATTACCCCCCATGACGGGTACTGTTTACATTACCCCTATGATGGGTACTGTTTACATTATTCCCATGACAGGTACTGTTTACATTACCCCCATGATGGGTACTATTTACATTACCCCCCATGACGGGTACTGTTTACATTACCCCTATGATGGGTACTGTTTACATTATTCCCATGATGGGTACTGTTTACATTATTCCCATGACAGGTACTGTTTACATTACCCCCATGATGGGTACTGTTTACATTATTCCCATGACAGGTACTGTTTACATTACCCCATGATGGGTACTGTTTACATTATTCCCATGACAGGTACTGTTTACATTACCCCCATGATGGGTACTGTTTACATTATTCCCATGACAGGTACTGTTTACATTACCCCATGATGGGTACTGTTTACATTACCCCCATGATGGGTACTGTTTACATTACCCCATGATGGGTATTGTTTACATTACCCCCCCATGATGGGTATTGTTTACATTACCCCCATGATGGGTATTGTTTACATTACCCCCATGATGGGTATTGTTTACATTACCCCCATGATGGGTATTGTTTACATTACCCCCATGACAGGTACTGTTTACATTACCCCCATGATGGGTACTGTTTACATTACCCTCATGATGGATACTGTTTATATTACCCCCATGATGAGTACTGTTTACATTGCCCCCATGACAAGTACCGTTTACATTATCCCCATGATGGGTACTGTTTACATTGCCCCCATGATGGGTACTGTTTACATCACCTCTACAAAGGATACTGTTTACATTACTCCAAAAAGGTACTGTTTACATTACCCACTGTGAGGAGGGGTACTGTTTACATTACCCACTGAGAGAGGGTACTGTTTACATTACCCACTGTGAGGAGGGGTACTGTTTACATTACCCACTGTGAGGAGGGGTACTGTTTACAATAGCCACTGTGAGGGGGTACTGTTTATATTACCCACTGTGAGGAGGGGTACTGTTTACATTAAATTACCCACTGAGAGGGGGTACTGTTTACATTACCCACTGTGAGGAGGGGTACTGTTTACATTACCCACTGAGAGTGGGTACTGTTTACATTACCCACTGTGAGGGGGTACTGTTTACATTACCCACTGTGAGGAGGGGTACTGTTTACATTACCCACTGTGAGGAGGGGTACTGTTTACATTACCCACTGTGAGGAGGGGTACTGTTTACATTACCCACTGTGAGGAGGGGTACTGTTTACATTACCCACTGTGAGGAGGGGTACTGTTTACATTACCCACTGTGAGGAGGGGTACTGTTTACATTACCCACTGTGAGGAGGGGTACTGTTTACATTACCCACTGTGAGGAGGGGTACTGTTTACATTACCCACTGTGAGGAGGGGTACTGTTTACATTACCCACTGTGAGGAGGGGTACTGTTTACATTACCCACTGTGAGGAGGGGTACTGTTTACATTACCCACTGTGAGGAGGGGTACTGTTTACATTACCCACTGTGAGGAGGGGTACTGTTTACATTACCCACTGTGAGGAGGGGTACTGTTTACATTACCCACTGTGAGGGGATACTGTTTACATTACCCACTGTGAGGAGGGGTACTGTTTATATGACCCACTGTGAGGGGATACTGTTTACATTACCCACTGTGAGGAGGATATTGTTTACATTACCCACTGAGAGAGGGGGGGGTTACTGTATACACTTTTATATGGCACAATTAAACAAGTTAGTGGTACAGAAATTATCTGCAGTAATAATGACCTCCTATTGAATGTTTCCAAAGTGGTCAGTAATATATATTTTTTCTCTAGGATTATTTTTCAAGAGTGTTGTGTATGACAAAAAAGGTTTTAGAAAAATCATTGTCAGGTAGCTAATGATAATAAGTGATCCAGTGAACATCTGCTGCTTAACTGATAATGAAAATGGATTAAAGATGTCAACCAAACCTGGTTTACATTGTACATATTCAAAATATTTAGTTTTCTGTAAACTGTTATGTAATACAATTTACTTTCATTGGCAGCTTATCACATATGAGATTGAGATAAGAGGACGAGCAACGGTGTTGATGAAGGATTCACCGTTTGAGGCTGGAGAGCAGTTGCCAGATGTGTACATAGAGGAGCTGAAGCAAAATATGGGCTCCATCTTCACCAACTTCTTTCCTTTCTGACGGTTGGCTGCAGCAGGACTTCTGCTGGTGGCTTTATTAGCATGGACTCGGACTACGCCTTGACCATACTCTTTTCTTGCTCCCCAAGTTGCCAAAGTGAAGTCATGGTTTTGTTATCTATTGCTTGTTTACACCATATATCAATTGAGGGGTCCTCGCGGCTGAATAGACAACGCTTGGAGGTCGTAGTTCTAAGGGCCTGGGTTCGTTTCCCAACTGAGGCAAAAACAAAATGAGCAGAGTTTCTTTTATCCTAATGCTCTGTTAATGTAGCAGTAAATAGGTACCTGGGAGTTTGACAGCTGCTACAGGCTGCTTCCTGGGGAATGTGTGTACTCGCCTAGTTGTACTCACCTGGTTGTGCTTGCTGAGATTGAGCTCTGTTCTTTCAACCCGCCTCTCAACTGTCAATTAATCTTTTGGGGGAGCCCCTACAGCTCTTTGGTACTATCCAGGCTGATAGGGATAGCCCTAACTTTTGGTATCAATCGATGTGGATGGAGTTCTAGGCCTACCAAGGACCACGAACCAGAACCTGGCCCCCTCAGAGAGGCATGAGGAGCAATTGCCTATAGAAATGCACATGTGATTTTGGAGTATTCTGTATCTGCCATCGAACACATCAGAGGTCCGCGGCTGTTCAACGTCCTCCCAGCGACTATAAGAAATATTGCCGGAACAACCGTGGACATCTTCAAGAGAAAACTGGACTGTTTTTCTAAGAGAAGTTCCGGATCAGCCGAGCTGTGGTGGGTATGTGGGCCTGCGGACCGCTCCAAGCAACAGCCTGGTGGACCAAACTCTCACAAGTCGAGCCTGGCCTCGGGCCGGGCTTGGGGAGTAGAAGAACTCCCAGAACCCCATCAAGCAGGTATCAAGCAGGAACGGGACAGGCACCCAGAAAGGTAAGCGCCTCAAAACAAACCCCCTATTCTGGTGAAACCAAAGAAAATAATGAAACAAGTGGACAGAACTCCCCAAGGAATAATGAGCAAACAAGCATGATGTCACACGAGCCGCACCGCACGTCTGGGGCTCATTCCTTCCCGGGAGGGGAAAGGGGAAGCCCCAGACCCTCGCGCTGACGATCCACACCTCAGTTCCTCAGCTAATGGGCTACAGCTCGGTCGTTGTGGCTCCAACTGCAGATTCTCTTTGTGCTGTGCCTGGGTTCAGTATACTCTTCGGTGGTGTGCGAGTTTGGAGAATTATTTCTGGGTACTCGGGCTGCATGCGCTTTGGGCTCCCTTCCCTTAGTGTCCTGTACGTACTGCCCTTGGGGCTTGGGGTTACCTTCCACAGGTCACCTTGGGGTCTACCTCTGTTGGTCTTTCGCTGCTTGGCGATTGACTGCCCCGAGTGTTTTGGGGGATTCCTCCCTTGTTTGCCTTGGGGTAAGTGGTAGTTTTTGCACTGGTAGGGGCACAGGGTATTGGGTAGCTAGTTTTCACCTATAATAGCGGGCCGGTTCTATTCCCTTTGGGTATGCTGTCCTCTCCGTCCCATCCCAAATCCTTATCCTGACCCCCTTTCTCAGTGCTATATAGTCGTAATTGCTTGGCGCTTTCCAATGATAGTTCCCCTCCCCTTTTCTTTTTGCCTGGTGGGGGAGGTCTGCCTTGATTTCGACTTCCGAGTTGAGGTGTGGAGCACCGACTGCCTCCCGAGTAAGTCCCCTTCCTTCTTTAGTCTTTGATGAAGTAGATTTGGGAAGCCATAGGGGCTACCCCAAAAACCAGCATTGAATGTAATGAAACACTGGTCGGTCGGTCGGGAGCAGGTCGGCCGAGCGGACAGCACACTGGACTTGTGATCCTGTGGTCCTGGGTTCGATCCCGGGCACCAGCGAGAAACAATGGGCAGAGTTTCTTTCACCCTATGCCCCTGTTACCTAGCAGTAAAATAGGTACCTGGGTATTAGCCAGCTGTCACGGGCTGCTTCCTGGGGGTGGAGGCCTGGTCGAGGACCGGGCCGCGGGGACACTAAAAAGCCTCGAAATCAAATCAAGATAACCTCAAGATAACCAGTCAGCGGTTTTCGTGTATTTTGATATCTAACCTCGAAACTGAGGTGTGGATCGCTGGCGCAAGGGTCTTTGGTTCCCCCTTCCCCCTCCCAGGGAGGGGGGGGGAGCTGCGCAGACGTGCGGCACGGCTCGTGTGACGTCATGCTTGTTTGCTCGTTTCCCCTTGGAGGGAGTTCTGTCTACTTGTTTCATTATTTTCTTTGGTTTCACCAGAATAGGGGTTTGTTTTGAGGCGCTTACCTTTCTGGGTGCCTGTCATGATTGATTTCAGATATAGAATACTCCAAAATCACACATGCATTTCAATAGGCCATTGCTCCTCATGCCTCTCTGAGAGGGCCAGGTTCTGGCCGTGATCCCTGGTAGGCCTAGAACTCCACCTGACATCGACTGATGTCAAAAGCTAGGACTATCCCTATCAGCCTGGATAGCTCCTCGGAGCCTCCGGGACTCGCCCAGAAAATGGCGTTTCATTACATTCAACGCTGTTTTTTTTTTCTCTCTCTCTCTCACACACACACACACACACACACACACATGCACACACTCACACATGCTCGCACACACACACATGCGCGCACACACACACACACATGCGCGCACACACACACAAACGTACACAATGACTTTTGTTAGACCAAAGCTAGAATATGCAGCTGTTGTGAGGTGCCCATATCTTAAGAAGCACATCAACAAACTGGAAAAGGTGCAAAGACATGCTACTAAGTGGCTCCCAGAACTGAAGGGCAAGAGCTACGAGGAGAGGTTAGAAGCATTAAACATGCCAAAACTAGAAGACAGAAGAAAAAGAGGTGATATGATCACTACGTACAAAATAGTAACAGGAATTGATAAAATTGACAGGGAAGATTTCCTGAGACCTGGCACTTCAAGAACAAGAGGTCATAGATTTAAACTAGCTAAACACAGATGCTGAAGAAATATAAGAAAATTCACCTTCGCAAATAGAGTGGTAGATGGTTGGAACAAGTTAAGTGAGAAGGTGGTGGAGGCCAAGACCGTCAGTAGTTTCAAAGCGTTGTATGACAGAGTGCTGGGAAGACGGGACACCACGAGCATAGCTCTCATCCTGTAACTACACTTAGGTAATTACACTTAGGTAATAACATGCACCACCAACCTACCTCCAACCCCCCAACTTCGAGAAATTAGCCCGTAACAGCTGTCTGACTTCCAGGTATCTATTTACTGCTAGGTAACAGGGGCATCTAGGTGAAAGAAACTTTACCCATTTGTTTTCCGCCATGGCCGGGGATTGAACCTCGACCCCCTAGGATTATGAGTCCCAAGCGCTGTCCACTCAGTCATAGGTCCCCCTGTGTGTGTGTGTGTGCGTGCGTGCGTGTGTGCGTGCGTGTGTGCGTGCGTGTGTGCGTGTGTGTGTGTGTGTGCATGCGTCTTAGAAAAAAATATATTTAGCAAATATAGTAGAGGAAAAATAGATTGGATAGAAAGGCAGGGTACAAGAGCTAATATAGCTCGATTTTGCAGACACAAATAGTAAATACATAGAGTGCCTGCCCCATAAAGACTGCAGTTGCACTCACATTTGTTTGTGTATCTATCAAGCAAAAGGTATACATTTGTATTCAAGAAGTAACCATATGCAGGATAATAAATATTTACCTTTTAATATGATAATTTAAATTTGGTTTCAGGTGTGATATTAGTATGAGGGGTAAATTATTATTTTATTTATTCACTGCACCAGTTTGTTGTATTCATTAGATAATTATACTTCAATAACCTGATTTTCAGAGCTGCCTAGGTAGACTGTAACGAACTTCTCAGCTTTAAGCATACAAAATTGAGTATTAAAATCAGTATTAGCAATATGATATGGCAACAATACACCCAGTATTTGCCTTTTAATATATTTAGCTATAACCAATGCAGTTGAATATATATATTGGAACACAAACATTTACTAAAGAAACAAGGGAAGTACTATAATGTTTACATTGAACGATTCATGACAAACCAGGAGCAGCAGGAACATTAATCACAGAGATTTCATGGCAGCAGAGAGAATATTCAGGCAGAGGCTGGAAAGACCTCAACCTCACTACCACACACCCAATCCCTTCCCAACAACACCCCACAACCACATCCTACCACTTCCCCAACCCTCCATTACCTGAAATTGACCGGACCTATACTTCCCTTCTGCTGCACCCAATTCCCACACCCATCCATGCTTTGCTGTACACCTCCCTGGCCACATCTGATCCTGCTCTGACCTCTGCCTACTCCCTGATTCCCACCCCACCCCCTGACTACATGACTACACCCCCTGACTCCCACTCACCCCATGATTCCTACCCACCCTCCTGATTCCCATCCACTCCCTGACCACTATCCACACCCTGTCCCCCAACTGCCCCCCCTGACCCCTGCCTATCCCTAACCCCTGCCCACTCCCTGATCCCTGTCCACTCCCTAGCCCCCCATTTACACACTGACTCCCCACCCACTCCCTGACCCCTGCCCTCTTCTTGACCCCCCACTACTCCCTGACCCCCAACTACTCCCTGACCCCCAACTACTACCTGACCCCAACCACTCCCCGACCCCCAACCACTCCCTGACCCCCAACCACTCCCTGACCCCCAACCACTCCCTGACCCCCAACCTCCCAGAGATTCCCAGATCTCTGGGAGTACGGTGTCCAAGTAGAGCCTGAAGATTTGGTACACGAACGCTGACGGAGATACAAACATTGCATAGCATCTGCACAGTAAAATAACAACGTACTGGAGTGAACGACATGGAAGAAAATGCAGAATAGAACCAGTGAAGAGCAGAGGTGCCATGGGCACAATCAGAGAACACTGTATGAACACCAGCGGTCCACAGTTGTTCAACGTCCTACCAGCGAGCATCAGAAATATTACAGGAACAACCGTGGACATCTTCAAGAGGAAACTAGATTGTTTCCTCCAAGGAGTGCCGGACCAACCGGTCTGTGGTGGGTATGTGGGCCTGCGGGCTGCTCCAAGCAACAGCCTGGTGGACCAAACTCTCACAAGTCAAGTCTGGCCCCGGGCCGGGCTTGGGGAGTAGAACTCCCAGAACCCCATCAACCAGATATCAACCAGGTATAGCAAAGGAAATAAAAAGAGTTAGTGAAAATAATCCTGATTTGATTGCAATAGTGGAAACAAAAATTGGGACACTTAACAGCAGATGGGAAAAGAATATTGGTCCTAGTAATTTACAACTCCCCACCAAACAACAGAAGACCCATGGCAGGAATATTATGACAACAACAAAGTATGCATAGATGCATTACAGAGAGCAGCAACAGTGACACACAAACAGGATTGGTT